CCCCCCCCCCCCCGTGCCAGCTGCCCCTTCCTGTCAGCGTTAGAGGCCTCCCGGAGAGCAGCAGTGCTGGCCTGGATTCCCAAGAGATTAATAATGGAGAAGCCTGATTATGAAGTGGGGAAACTGGAGCTGCGAGGCTTGGTGGCCTGCTGGCTTGGGTGGTGACCTTTTGTTCTGTGCTGGTGAGGGGCAAAGCGGAGTGTTTTACACCAAACCCTCTGCTCCCGCCCCATCCCGTCTCCAACCTAGAGGGCCTGTGGATAGAGTCCCCTAGCTAGACTGACACTGAAGGACGCTTGTCTGTCCTGTCCTTTCCCAGTCCTGTCGGGCGCTCCGGGGTTAGCTGTCTGATGGCCCCCTGTCCCCCTGCCCCAGACTTTTGCAGCAGGAGAATGAAGAGCTTCGCCGACGCCTGGCCTCAGCCACCAGACGCACTGAGGCCTTGGAGCGGGAGCTGGAAATAGGACAAGACTGTCTGGAACTGGAGTTAGGCCAGAGCCGTGAGGAGCTGGACAAGTTCAAAGACAAATTCCGCAGGTGTGGGAATAAAGGGCCAGCTGTCTCCCCCTTCGTGGGAAGTTAGCTGCAAGAGCCTCAGCTCCCACGAGGCTGATTCTGTGTAGAAAGCCGGGGCTCTCCCAGAGTCCCCTGTAGAGCAGGTTGGTGGCCCTGAAATCAGGATCTTGACCCGGGCTCTCCGCCTTGTGTTCTAGGCTGCAGAACAGCTACACAGCTTCCCAGCGGACCAACCAGGAGCTGGAGGACAAGCTGCACACACTGGTACTGTGCTGGCAGACGGGACTAGCATCGCAGTGGGCTGGGGCTTGCCAGAGGGATGTCCTTCACCCTGGGGCTTGGGGAGGGAGGGCATGGCAGTGATGGGGAGGGGACTGCAGTGTGCTGTGCCAGTCGGGACTGTTAATGCTCACACTGTTTCTCTTCTCTCTTCGTCTCCCCCTCATGCCGCCACCGCTGCTGCTGCATTCTCCTCTCAGGCCTCTCTTAGCCACAGCTGGATTTTTGCAGTTGCGTCTGAGTTTGTGTTTTTTTTCCCCCTGGTTCTGGCCTCCTTGGTCCGTATCAGGGATGGTGGGCCTTGGCCGTTTCCCTCTGCCCTTGAGCACATCCCCTCTCCCCGTCACTGTGAGGCCCATTAGTAGTCAGTGCCTCCACCCTGGGAGAGACCGGGTCTGGGGCTCTGCTCCTGGCTCTGGCAGAGGCGCTGGCTGATAGCAGCCCTCAGCGCTTTCCCACTTCCCAGCTGCAGGGCCAGCAAGCCCAGGCTGTAGGTACACGTTAAGGGAGCTGAAGCTCCCCTCTGTGCCCGGCCAGCTACTCTCACAGACGCCCACTCCTAGCTGATCTCGGAGACAGATGCCCACACAGGCTTTAGTCCCTGGCTGCAGTTCCTGCCTCTGAGATGTTAGTGCCTTGAGTCCCTTAAGCCCCCGCAAAGGATGGGTAGTCTGCCTCCGCCCTGGGTTCCCATGGCATTAGGTTCTTCTCAGACGGCTCCTCATGAGCAGCCTGCAGAGCAGGAGAAACGCCGAGTCTCCTGTCTGTCGTCATGTCTGCTGTCTGCCTTGGCTGCCCTGGCACCTGTGGCCTGTGTCTCTGGGCTGGAGGTGGTGGAGGGAGAGGGCTGGCTGGGGTCCGGGCTGGCTTTACCACAAGTCTGTGCTGCAGATCAAGAAGGCTGAGATGGATAGAAAGACCCTGGACTGGGAGATTGTGGAGCTGACTAACAAGCTGCTGGATGCCAAGAATACCATCAATAAGCTGGAGGAGCTCAATGTATGTGCCCATCCTCGGTGTGGCTCCATTTGCACCCTTGGGCGGGCTGGGCTCTAAGCAGGTCTCTGTCTGCAGGAGCGGTACCGACTGGACTGCAACCTGGCTGTGCAGCTCCTCAAGTGCAACAAGTCCCACTTCCGGAACCACAAGCTTGCTGATGTGAGTGACACCTGCCCGGCACCGTTCCGCCTTGTCAGGACTCGGTCCACTTTCTGTATCTCTGCCTTCTACTTCCTCTGACTTCCCTTTCCACTTCCTTCCTCTTGCCCCTGGGTTGCACTTCCTGGGTGCCACTGAGGCCGGTTACTGGTGTTGGAGCTGGCTCTGTTAGTATTTTGTAAGGTACTCGCCAGCCCTAGGAGCCTGTGCAGGAAGAAGGGGTGGCCAGAGCTGTTAGCCTTGACCCTAAGACAGCCCATCTGACCCCTTCCCTCTTCAAGCCAAGGCCGAGCTGGCCTGCAGACTGGAGGCACTTGCAGGTCTGGAGTGGCTGGCACTCTCCAAGTCTGGTTTTGGCACAAGCCGCCTGAGACAGGAAAGAGATGTTTTGGTGTCCATAGGTCTTAGCAGTCGAGCTGGTTAACTTCATGTTAAATACAGTACCAGTTGTTTTTTTCTGGGAAGTGGGGTTGTGTAGAAGCTTAAAAGCTGAGTGATTAACCAGGACGTGGTGGCTCTTGTTTTTGCTATGAGTCAAGCTATCTTCAGCGGGGCTCATTCATGTCTCGCTCCTCTCCTCTCACCCTAGCTACCCTGTGAGCTACAGGACATGGTCAGGAAACATCTGCGTAGTGGTCAGGAGGCCGCCAGCCCCAGCCCTTCTTCCAGCCTGGCCGCAGGGGCTGTGGTGCCTACCTCCGTCATTGCCCGGGTGTTGGAGAAACCGGAGTCTCTCCTGCTCAATTCAGCCCAGTCAGGCAGTGCCGGACGCCCCTTGGCGGAGGATGTCTTCGTGCATGTGGACATGAGTGGGGATGCTCCGGGTGACTCAGCCAGCCCCCCGGCCCCTGGCAGTCCCTCTCCACACCCCAATGGGGAGTGCTGCTCTCTGAGTACTGCAGGCGGCTCCCCAGAGGAGGAGCTGCCCCCGCCAGCCTTTGAGAAGCTGAGCCCCTACCCTACCCCGTCTCCACCACACCCGTTGTACCCTGGTCGGAAGGTGATCGAGTTTTCTGAGGATAAGATTCGAATTCCACGCAACAGTCCCCTACCCAACTGTACTTACGCCACTCGACAGGCCATCTCCCTGAGCCTGGTGGAGGAGGGGGGTGAGCGCGTCCACCGCAGCCCAGTGCCTAGCAGTCCTGCCTCAGCCCAAGGCTCACCCCATCACCAACCTAGTCCAGCCCCCTCAGCACTCAGTGCCCCAGCCAGCTCTGCCAGCTCCGAGGAGGACCTGCTGGCCAGCTGGCAGCGTGCATTTGTGGACCGCACCCCGCCTCCCGCTGCTGTGGCCCAGCGCACAGCCTTTGGACGCGATGCCCTCCCTGAGCTACAGCTGCATTTCTCCCCGAGCCCCGCGGAGGCCCCACCACCTTCCCCACACCAGGAGAGTGGACTTCTGCTGCCAACAGAGCCTGACTCTGCCTGTCCCAGGGAGGAGGAAGAGGAAATGCTGAATCTGCCTGTCAGCCCTGAGGAAGAGCGCCAGAGCCTGCTGCCTGGTGATGAGGGTGCAGAGGATGGACCTCACACTTCCCACATTGATGGCAGGGCCTGGCCACTCCCCACTGCCAGCCGTCCTCAGCGCAGCCCCAAGAGGATGGGGGTGCACCGCCTGCACCGCAAGGACAGCCTGACGCAGGCGCAGGAACAGGGCACCCTGCTCAGCTGAGGCCACTGCCTCCCCGCCACCACCCCTCGTGGCTGCGTGCGGCTGGCTCCTGACTCTCCTCAGACCTGGGGAGCTCTGTGTCCCATGTGAATGGGGCCCACACCAAATCTTGCAGCTGCATTGGCACCGATTGGTGCCGGCTTGCCTCCTGACACTTTCTTTTCCTCTTGGAATCCTTCTTCTCCAAAGGTAATAAGTCACTTGAGTCCCAAGTCAGTCCAGGTGTTATCACGGGGAGGCGCCCGGCTTCCAGTGTTCTTTTTCCGTTCTCCTTCCTATCCAGGAGCTTTGGTTGTTAGGGGACGGTATCATTGAGGCTCCTGACCTCCAAGTACTCTTTTCCTCTGCATGAGCTGCTCTTTGGCCTGGCCCAGCTGGACCTAGGGACAAGGGTGGACTCACTCAGGGCTCCCCTCAGCTGTTCCCACCGTCCCTTCCAGAGAGAGGGTGGGACTTCAAGGGCCTCAGGCTCCAGTGAGGCCTGGCTCTCTTAACCTTGGCTCTAGACTGTTACTCCCAGATTGGGGAAATTTTCACATTGACTGTTTTAAAATCAAATAAAACTTATTTTACAGGTATGGCTTAATTTGTCTTAATTGACTTTCTCTTTCCTACTATAATCCCTATTCTTGTTTTTATTTTTAAGATGGCATCTCGTGTAGACCAGGCTGGCCTGGAACTCACAGAACCACTTGCCTCTGCCTCCAGAGTACTGAGATTAAAGGTGTGTACCACCATGTACCATGTCTAGCTAACATTTTTGAGTGGTGTGTGTGTGTGTGTGTTAGTGTGCAGGTGCCCACAGAGGCCAGAGGTTTGGTACCCTGGAGCTGGAGTTATGTATTTCTAGTCCAACTTTTCCTAGTCTTTGCCAGAGACCCCCCCTTTAGCCCATTCTGCCTGGCCTCCCGTGGCCCCAGGCATGGGGAAGGGGTGCTCAGGTAACGGAAGGGGTAATGATAAGCTTCCCTGCAGAAGGAGGGTAAAGCTCAGCCCAGCTCCTCACTCTAGTTATCTTCAGGTGTCATCTGAACTCTCAGGACTCCTAGGTCCTAGACCTAGGCAGACCTAGAGTCTGAGCTGTAGGGTGATACCCCTGGTTTCTGGTGAGTGGTACGCCAGACCCTCCCATTGGTCATCCCCAGTGACTACAGCCGCAAGCCAGGTTGTAGAGTTTATAAAATCTGTTCCGAGCCAGCGGGTTGCAGCCAGAGCTGCCAACAAGTTCAAAGTTCAAGTCCCCCCCACCCCTCAAGGCTGACGCCCAGTGACAGCTTCCAGAGCCTCCCACAACTACGGACTGCCAGAGCCCCGGCCAGGGCCTCCCTGCCATGTGGAGGAAGGCGGTGGGACACAGACAGATGCAAGGATGCACAGAAGCCCAAGTGGAGGGTCACATCTCGGTCTCGGCCAGCAGACTGTCCCCTAGTCCTGACGTCATTAGCACCATCTGAGAGCTGGGATCTGCGGGAGGGCAGAAGGGTGTGTTCAGCCACCAGTCATGCCTCAGTGAGCACCACAAATAAACGAAAGCCATGGCCTGGTTTCCCAGCCTCACCCCCTTGTTCCAAACCTTCCAGACCTAGCTCTCGTCCATTCTCCAGGTTCTTACCGCTGGGGCACATCCAGGAGCCGCCACCCCGCTGGTGGGCCACAGGCTCCCGCGCTCGCCCCCATTCCTGTGTGTCCACAGCCCCTCCTGCTACCTCTTCCTCTTCCTCCCCCTCGGAGAGGAGGTCACAGATCTGCTGCTGCAGCTCTGGGCTAATGCTGTTCTCGGCCAGCACCAGGCTCCGCAAAGCTGTTGGGTAATTTTCTACCATGTCCAGCAGGGTCTGGGGAATGGAAGAGCACAGAAAAGAATAAACACAGGACGGGGTGGCTCAGTGGTTAAGGACAACGGCTGCTCTTCCTAAGGACCAGGTTTCAATTTCCAGCACCCACATGGCTGTTCATCACCATCTGTAACTCCAGTTGCAGGAGATCTGACACCATCTTCTGGCCTCCATGTGCACCACAGACATATAGGTAGAACATTCATTCACATAAAATAATAAATATTAAATTGTAAAATTAAAACTGATTGATAAATAAAATAAAACGTGGTGGCGCACGCCTTTAATCCCAGCACTTGGGAGGCAGAGCCAGGTGGATCTCTGAGTTCGAGGCCAGCCTGGGCTACAGAGCGAGATTCACGACAGGCACCAAAGCTACACAGAGAGAAACCCTGTCTCAGAACCCCCCCCCCCCCCCCACACACACACAAAAAAAACACAATTTAGGCAGCCCCCTGGGTCCAACAGGCCAGCCCTTGGGTCTACTCCCAGACATGATGATTAGTTCACCCTTTCCCCTAGCTTGTCTCTAAAACATGATGGCCTCTCACCTGAGCTGACTGGTTGGTGAGCCCTGTGCCCTCCAAGTCTAGGACTTCTAGGGTCCGGCTTGAGGCCACAGCTACAGCCAGCATCCCTGCCACATGGTCACCTAGGGAGAGAGCACAAATTCTCGGCCATCTGAGAAAACAGAGGTCTGTTAATCCTTAGTCCTGGTCAGGACCACGCTGCCTGGCCAGGAGACACAGGGGAGTGGCCAGGAAGTGAGCATTTGGAGATGAAGCAAGTCAGATCCATGGGTTCTGACTGAGGCTTTAACCTACCTGTTGGTCATCTGGTACTCCATGAAGGATGGCTCCTTTATGAGACCCCTTGGGGGCTCTCACTGATCTTCCCTCCCTTGAGTGGGGGTTACTATGGCAACTGGTGGTCTGAGGGTTTTGGATTGGGTGGGAGCAGTGAGAATTGCGGGGATGATCTTAAGCTCACCCAGGGGGTTGTAGTCCAGGTTGAGGACGCGGACTTGGGAGCTGTGGGCCACAGCAATGGCGAGGCGGCTCCAGCCCTTGGGGGTGATGCCAGGGTTGGCACTCAGTGTTAGCTCCTTCAAACCTAGGCAGCAGCATTAGTGAGAACCCAGGATGGGTAGAGTCATTCCCTTCTCTACCCTGTATCTATGGGGTTAGCCTAATGGCTGGGAGTCACCTTGCCCCCAACCACAGTTGTCTGGCGCATTAGGGACCTACTCACTCCTCCCCTGCCTGGGTCACTGTGTTTCCACTGGGCTCTGTCCCTAAGTGTCCCCCTTCCTGAGAATGATAAAAAGGCATTCTTACTGTACCCTCCCAGCTCTCAGCACCGGGCCACACCCCCTCCTGTGCATTCACCCTTCATCAGTCACACTAGCCCATGCACTCACTCAGCAGGGCCCTGCTCACCAGACTTGGCCCCATCTGGAGGGAGGAGACCACAGATAAGGTTGATGGCTTCATCACCTAGCATGCAGTCCCCCAGGTCAAGAGCCACGAGGGCAGGGTGGAGAGCCAGGGCTGGGTTCAGCAAGGCAAGTCCCGCATCTGTCAGTGGGCTCCCATGCAGGCTGAAGGTTGAGACGAGATGAATTATGAATCACCAGCCTTATCTGTTTGGGAAAGCTGCCCCTCCCGAGACAAGGATGGGAAGGAAAAAAATGGAAATTCTAGATTTGAAGGAGTACGGTGGAAAGGGAATTTGGTTTCTTTTCTGGGGTAGGAACTGGTAATAAGAACATTTCACAAGGAGGGGTGTGTGGATAGAGGACCGGGGGGCCAGCACACATGCTCGCCAGCACACATGCTCGCCGGCCTCTGAGATCCTTCAGTGGGTAGGGCTGGAAGGGCTGGGCTGTAGTCTCCATGGGAGGTGACCCTTCCTCAGAAATGAGGGGCTTCACAGTGAAGTAACTGGGCGGTGGGGTGGGGAGGAACGACATTCCCTACCAGGAAGGGCTAGGCATCCCAGCTCTCCTGCGGGTCTGAATGTGGAGCAAAGTCTAGAAACGATCCATGTTTCTGGGAGGGTGTGGTGGACCCAGAAGAAAGATGAGGTGTGCATTAGAGGTTGGGACGGTGGGAAGACAGGCACTGGAAGGTAATGCGGAGACACAGGAGGTGGTAGGGGGTGCAGTAGCCGGGACCCCCTTGCGAGGGGACACACTCACAAGAGGGACTGGATGGAGCGGTTGGTCCGTAGCGCTTCCGCCAGCTGCTTGATGCGGCTGGGGCTGGACACGACGCCCAGGTTAAGGTTGAGCTGCGCCAGGGACGTGGCTCCAGCTAGGGCCCGGCAGATGCGGCCGAAGTCGCGGTCGCACAGGCGACAGCCGCGCAGCGAGAGCAGGCGCACGGCGTTGTCGCGCAGGCCGCGGCAGATGTCCCGCACCTCGGCGCCTGACAGCGGCTCCCCCGAAATCTGGATGGAGCTGGGCAGCATGGTCCCCACGACTGGGCCTTGGGGGCTGGCGCCGGTGTCCCGGCCTGGGCACAAGTTGGCCCGGCTGCGGGCGGGGGCGGGGCGGGGACTGAGGTCACGGTCTCGGCTGGGGTCGCAGCCGGAGCGGAGGCGGAGGCAACCGCGGCTGTGGTGGCGACGAAGCGAGCCCGGGGCCGCGGCGGGCGGGAGCGAAAGCAGGCGCAGGTCCGGGATGCGGAGGCGCGGAGGAGGGAGCGGCGCGGGGGCGGGGGCGGCCCGAGGCCCGAGCTGCAGCCGCCCCGCGCTAGTCCTCTCCCTCGCGGCTTCGGAGGCCGCGCCCGCTCTGCCGGCCCCCGGGCCCGGCAGCAGGGCTCGCGGGGACAGCCGGGGCGGGATGCAGCTCGGCTTCAGCTGCGGCGCCGGAGCAGGCGGCGAGTTCCTATGGCAACGGTTGCGTCACTGGCTCTCGCCCCGCCCCCCAGCCCGGCATGGACCACGCGGCCGGTGCGCGGTGCGTGTCTTAGGGTGAAGAACTAGGATCCGAGGGCTTGACAGCGTGAAAAGAAGGTAGAGGGATACAGCGTCACGTGGGGAGGGTGGAGGCAAGTCAGGTTGAGACAACCTTCGATGCCATTTCGGCTTCTTTCACTTGTTCTCCTGTGCTTCTCCATTCTTAAGGTCTAAATCTAGAGATTCCTCGCCCTCGCCAAGACCTTGGACAATCAATTCTGCTTGGCAGTCCCTAGGCCCTTTAATCCGTGCCGCGCCCCGCCCCCATGTCCCAGTGACGCGAGGCGTAGCATGCGTGGGGATTCCGATCCACAGGGACTTCGCGGTCAATATGGCTGCACTGGACAGAACCCTAGGGTAGGGCAGGTGAACCAGCCTTGAAGACGTTTTTAACATCCAGGACAATGGGATTGCCAAAATCAAAGGGTGTCAGACCAACCCAAAGCTGTAGGAATGGGGTGGGGTGGGGAGCTTGTAAAGCGGCTGGAGTCGTGAAGCTGGATTTTATCTCTATGCTTGCTATCCCCATGGGGGCTTCATTTGTGCAACAGGGCAGTGTAACAGGAAGAGGAAGTGTCACTTTCTTTCCTTTTAATTAAAAAGTGAGCCAGAAGCCGGGCGGTGGCGCACGCCTTTAATCCCAGCACTTGGGATGCACAGGCAGGCGGATCTCAGTGAGTTTGAGACCAACCTGGTCTACAGATTGAGTTCCAGGATAGACAGAGCTACATAATGAGACTTTGTCTGGAACCTCCCCCGCCCTGCAAACAAACAAAAAACACCAAAAACCAAAAACCTTTACTGTCAAAAGCCTTACTCCTGTTAACTATTTGAATTTTTTTTAATGTGTTTGTCTTCTACAGGAGTGTAGGTGCCTGCAGAAGCCAGAAGAGGGCGGTAGAGTTACAGGAAAATCTGAGCCACCCAACTGTGGAAGCTGGGAACTGAACTACTGAATCCAGGTCCTGCGCAAGAGCACTGCACTCTTAACCCCTGAGCCATCTCGCTACCCTAATTTTGTTTTTATTATGTATATGCATGTATGTCTGTGCCGTGAGTGCGGGAACCCTCAGAGACCGTTGGAGCTCTTGGAGCTGGAGTTACAAGCACTTGTGAGCTACCCACAAAGGGTGCTGGCAATAGAACTTAAATCCTCTCGAAAAGCAGTGTCTGCCTTTATCCAGCACCCTAAATTTACTTTTCATTGAAACAGGGTCTCACTGTGTGGCCCTGACTGTCCTGGAACTCACTCTGTAGACCAGGCTGGCCTTGAAGTCACAGAGATCCACCTGCCTGTGCCTCCTGGGTGCTGGGATTAAAGGAGTACACGCTCAGCCTGAATTTACTTCTTCAGTGGAGGTGAAGGGGGGTGTGGTTTAAATATAACACTTGGAGGGAGGACAGGAAACTAAAGCTTCAGTAAACCATATTTGGCTCCAATGTCAGCTCCATGTGGACATTACCCCAGCGGCCCGGCACAGAAGGTCCTTGTAATGATGGGGTCAGTTTTTGTTCATCTGTCACTTCTGCTTTGGCGTCTCCAAAGGACAACAGCCTAGACTTAAGCCTGGTGTACATTCCCATGACCACTGCGGCTCTCCTGCTTGGGGCCTGCCTGCTGCTCTGTGGGTCAAGTGTCTCCAGCCCTCAGGGACAGTTTCTACAATCAGCTACTGCCTTCTAAACAGGCTGCCTGTCCTTCCTCCATCCTGCCTGAGTGAGGGAGCAGAAGGCATAGACCATCACCACCGACAGAACAGCAATGTGGATCAGAAGCAGGGCGACAGGAGAATGCCTGAACAGGAGCTGGAGTTCCAGACTCCAATCAATAGTTTAATTACCAAGTCTATATTTAGCAAGACAAGAGGGAGGGAGAGAAAAAAGGGGTGGATGGTGAGGGCCTCAGAAGAGCTGACCCATATTCTGCACCTGGCTGCAAAGGCTTGCAGTCCTGGCCAGGAGTTCCTTGGCCTTGTGCCTTTCAGAAGCCAAGACCTGTGCCCAGGAGGTGTTTAGGCAGCAAGAGCTCAGTGGTTGCCGCAGACCTCATCAGAGAGACGCACGTCCTCAGTACCGTCCTTTGATCTCCCTCTGCCCCAGAGCGGGGGTCAGGGCTGGCCGAGGGTCTCAGGCAGGGTCAGTGTGACTGCAGGGTCACTGCTATTGCCTTGGCGGTGGCATTGACCACAGTGACAGGAAGCCTGGCGGCAGGGAGCACAGCAGGGATGTCTCTAGGGACCCTCTGCATGGGTGGGACATTGGGGCCCTCCAGAGTGTCCAGGATCCCTAAAGAAGGAAGGATGAGGATGAGTGAGAACTGGCTGGGCAGGCCCCCAGGTCAGCTCACCCAGCCCAGGCCCCCATACAGGCCCTCCGGCCACCTACCCTCCACCACCTTGTGGTAGGCAAAATGCAGATAGAGCAGGAAGAGCATGTGTAGAGCAGCCAGTGTGCCACAGAGGAGCAGCCGCTGGGTGGGGCCCACAGTCCTCGACACCAACACTGCCACCTAGGGCCACAGGTACACAGTTCAGAAGGCCTGTTTCAAAGGGATGGATGGAGATACCCAGGGCAGAAGCTGGAGAGCCCTTTGTGGGGTGGACAGCAAACCTGCCCAGCTTACCATGCGCAGGGTGGAGAGCCCACCCACCAGCAGCCAGAAGAGGTAGAAGAGGGCATGAAGGTGAATGTTGTAGGTGATGAACAGGACGATACAGTGCCCAAAGAGGCCATAGCCCTGGGGAGAGAGATGAGAGGATCATCACTTGGGCTGGAGTGGCCTTCCGCCCCTTGGTGGGGTCTTTGGCTTGCTCATCCCACCCCAGGCCCACAGACTCCTGGAGAGCAGCAGACCAAGGCCTTGCTTATCTTAGGCTCACCCTGCCCACTCCCAGGCTCAGCTCCTTACCAGCAGTGCCAGCATCTGGAGCATGGTGATTTGGGCATTGCACAGGTAGGCAAGGAAATAAATGAACGATGAAACACCCAGCCAGTATCCGAAGCAGGTGCCAATGGCTGTGCCCATCAGGGTGCCCTCACGCTGTGGGGTGAAGGCTCTGCTTAGGGCACCTCTGGTTTGGCCTCACCCAGGGCTTTCTGCAGGGGCTGCTCCAGTCTCACTCCACCATCACATCCTCAGGCAGTTTGCAGCCCCATCAGCCACGCCCCCTCCCCAAGGCCTGTGTCTTGCTTACGATAATGGTATCAGATGTCTTCATCCCATGGAGGAGGATGGCCACCAGTGTGAAGACCAGCATGAGAGGTCCATAGAGCTCACCTGCGACTTTCTGTCAATACATAACACATTCAGACTGGAGGCTGCAATGCCTCTTCTCTTCACACCTTCGCAGGCTTGGCCTGGTAGCCCACCCTCTACCCTGATGCCTCCCCCTCCTCTGCAGACATGCCTTTCCCAATCACCTGGGGGAAGTTGACCATCTTGACAGGGATCATGGACTCCAGGAGCCTGGGAGAGGAGAGGAGAGATGAGGGCAGATGCAGCTATGCTGAGGTTCTGGAGGACAGGGTCTGACTCTGACTCATGTCTCTACCGCCAGGGAAAAGGGCTGGCCCAGAGGACATACTGGATAAGAGGGGGAGGGAGAGGGGGTAAAGACAGGGAATGAAAAAAATCACTTTGAGGAAGGACAGCCCTCTGAGGTGAGTGGAGTAGCAGCTATTCAGAAACCCTGGAGAGACCGGAGGATTTGACCGTTTACCTACATGGCCTATAGAAGGCAGGCAGACCTCTGCAGAGGGCACCCAAAATGTAGAAGCCCTGGGAATAGCGCAACTACCGAGGAAGCAGGCCACTTTCTGACTCTTTCTAATTACCATTCTTCTAGGCAGTGAGCATTTTTCTTGAAAAATATACTTGAAGTGGTATGAAAATTCCACACAGAATAAAAAGAGATCTTTTCTCTCTTTGCCTATGGCCACTACAACTTCAGTTATTCTTGTTTCTTGGATTGTTCTTTTTTTTTTTAAAGATTTATTTATTTATTTATTTATTTATTATGTATACAATGTTCTGTCTGCATGTGTACTTGCAGGCCAGAAGAGGGCGCCAGATCTCATTACAGATGGTTGTGAGCCACCATGTGGTTGCTGGGAATTGAACTCAGGTCCTCTGGAAGAACAGCCAGTGCTCTTAACCTCTGAGCCGTCTCTCCAGCCTGGATTGCTCTTTTTCATTAAGATATTACTTCCTCTGGGAAGCCTTCCCTTTTGGACATTGCAGCCTTTCTGGGCTCAAGTGTCCCTCCTGTGTGTCCCATAGTCATACTAGAGTACTATGTTGTGACTGCACTCAATGTCAAGGCTCCTGCCTATCTTCACCAATGAATCAGACATCATAGAATAAAAACTCAATGTATAGTGGCCCCAGGTTTTGTATCAGCACTACTTAAAGGATGAACAAAGAACCAAGCCAGGATTGAATCCAGTTCTTGAGGCCGCTAATGACTATGCTCTGATACTCAGGTGGATGCCAGACAGAAAAGAGTCTAAAAAAATAAAAAAAAGGATAAAGGCAGCAGAGCTTGCTCTTGAGGAGTTCGACCCAGGAATGAGAACGTATAGCAGTTTGAAGAGCCACCTGGGAGAAGAAAGTAGAGCTGTCTAGGAGTCCCGGCCGAGGACCAACTGGGGAGGGCTGAGAACACAGCAAGTGCTGTGTGAGCGAGGTGTGGCGGGAAGATGGAACCACACTAGACAGAGGACCTGGCCAGTGTGCTTCCAGCGCCGTGTATTCGGCAGCAGGTTTGGTGACTAGGGTGATGGGTTACAAGTAGGGGAGCCCACCAGAGCTTAGGGCTCAGTATCTGACTGCACTCTGGATGAAGGTCAGCCTCTTCCGGGAAGGCTCCTCACCTGCTTCGGACCTGGGCAGGCTCCACATCAAAGTAGGGTCTCAGGATGTCGATGTTGGCATA